GTTTACTTTTATTTGGTGACTTTTGAGTTTCCAAATACTTTAACCTATACACAAACGAATGACATATCTATTTGAACACAAAGCCAAATCTTTTGTCTTCCGTTACTATTTCACAACGTCAAATGTTTTAGAGCTGGTATTTCCATAATGTCATATTTTTGGTTATTAATGCAGGCGTTATTGGAGCTGACTATATGTTCTGTTTATTGTTGAAGCAGACTTTACAGTCCCCCCCATTGCCATGGATTAGTAATGTGAGTCACCTGACTGCCTATTGACGTTATGACAACAGGGTTACAATTAGCAAATTAGGAAGGGGTGAATCACATCCCTTAGACGTCTGCTGATTTGGGGTTCAAATCCCACTGTCACACCAATTATTGTTCTTGATACAATAGCACCCTACACCTGTTCCCGTGATTAGCGTTCAGTTTTGAGTTTCTTTCAACTGGCATGGCGTTTTTATATACCGTATTCGACGTAATAAGCGCCCAGGGCGCTCTCAAAATTAGAAATAGGGGGCTTTTGTTAGAATGTTATTTTGGTGGAAAAAACAGTTGACAGATAAATTTTGTGGTTTATGCTGACGGTTTGAACTGTTTATATACGACAGATATATTTTTCAGAATTTAATTGCCCATAATTAAGGGTGCATATAACACACGAGTGCGTATTATACACGAATAGATAAGTCTTGTGTACATTGATCAATCGGAAGGGGTGCTAATTGGGATTGTTCACTTGCCAATATATTAGCAAATATCGCCTTGGGCGCTTATTAGAGCGGGGCGCTTATTACGTCGAATACGGTAATTGGAATATTCTTCAAAGCCATGTTATACATACTGTTATCATAATACATATCGTTCGATGGTTTGTGTTTAATGGCGGAGATATTGTTGGTACTTTCACAGCACAGATAAATAAATGCTCATGTACAGAAGCTGATTCGTCTCGTTGTGACTATGCACACCCGTAGAAGAAAGTTTAGCACTACTCACATGGTGTAACTATGATATTGTAAATGATTGGAGATACCTGTACTTTTACGTGAGCAGTGGTTCGTTGTTAGGTTTCTGAAGCACAGGGATGGAATGGAGTATTAAAATTGACATGATTAATCCCTGTATATGTGTGTTATGTAGTGACACCTGTCGTGGTGTGTGTTATATAGTCGCACCTGTCGTGGTGTGTGTTATATAGTCGCACCTGTCGCGGTGTGTGTTATATAGTCACACCTGTCGTGGTGTGTGTTATATAGTCGCACCTGTCATGGTGTGTGTTATATAGTCGCACCTGTCATGGTGTGTGTTATATAGTCGCACCTGTCGTAGTGTGTGTTATATAGTCACACCTGTCATGATGTGTGTTATATAGTCACACCTGTCATGGTGTGTGTTATATAGTCACACCTGTCATGGTGTGTTATATAGTCACACCTGTCATGGTGTGTGTTATATAGTCACACCTGTCATGGTGTGTGTTATATAGTCACACCTGTCATGGTGTGTGTTATATAGTCACACCTGTCATGGTGTGTGTTATAAAGTCACACCTGTCATGGTGTGTGTTATATAGTTTCACCCATCATGGTGTAAGTTATATAGTTGCACCTGCTGTGGTGTGTGGTATATAGTCCCATCCATCATAGTGTGTGTTCTGTAATCGCACTTGTTGTGGTGTGTGTTATATAGTCGCAGCCATCGTGGTGTTTGTTATATAGTAGTTAGCTATTGTCATGTGAGTTATATAGTTGCACCTGCTGTGGTGTGTGTTATGTAGATGCACCTGCTGTGGTGTATGTTATATAGTCACACCTGCTGTGGTGTGTGTTATGTAGTTGCACCTGCTGTGGTGTGTGTTATATATAATCACACCTGCTGTGGTGTGTGTTATGTAGTTGCACCTGCTGTGGTGTGTGTTATATCGTCACACCCATAGAGGCGTGTGTTATGTTGTCGCACATGCCATGGTGTGTTATATAGTCACACCTGCTGTGGTGTGTGTTATATAGTCAACCCCATCGTCGTGTGTGTTATGTAGCTGCACATGCCATGGTGTGTTATATAGTCACACCTGCTGTGGTGTGTGTTATATAGTAAAACCCCATCGTCGTGTGTGTTATGTAGTCGCACATGCCGTGGTGTGTTATATAGTCACACCTGCTGTGGTGTCTGTTATAAAATTGCACCTGCGATGTTGTGTGTGATATAGTCACACCTATCGTGGTGTGTTATATCAACTACTGTCATGATGCAGGCTATATTCACTACTTTCAAGGTGCAGGCTGTAATCTCTACTGTCAAGGTGCAGGCTATATTCACTTCTGTCAAGGTGCAGGCTATATTCACTACTGTCAAGGTGCAGGCTATATTCACTACTGTCAAGGTGCAGGCTATATTCACTACTGTCATGATGCAGGCTATAATCACTACTGTCATGGTGCAGGCTATATTCACTACTGTCACGGTGCAGGCTATATTCACTACTGTCATGATGCCGGCTATATACACTACTGTCATGGTGCAGGCTATATTCGCTACTGTCATGATACAGGCTATATTCGCTACTGTCATGTTGCAGACTATATTCGCTACTGTCATGTTGCAGGCTATATTCACTACTGTCAAGGTGCAGGCTATATTCACTATTGTCAAGGTGCAGGCTATATTCACTACTGTCAAGGTGCAGGCTATATTCACTACTGTCAAGGTGCAGGCTATATTCACTACTGTCAAGGTGCAGGCTATATTACCTTCTGTCAAGGTGCAGGCTATATTCACTACTGTCAAGGTGCAGGCTATAATCACTACTGTCAAGGTGCAGGCTGTATTCACTACTGTCAAGGTGCAGGCTATAATCACTGCTGGCATGGTGCAGGCTGTATTCACTACTGCCAAGGTGCAGGCTATATTCACTATTGTCAAGGTGCAGGCTATATTCACTACTGTCAAGGTGCAGGCTGTGTTCACTACTGTCAAGGTGCAGGCTATAATCACTACTGTCAAGGTGCAGGCTGTATTCACTACTGTCAAGGTGCAGGCTATATTCACTACTGACAAGGTGTAGGCTATAATCACTACTGGCATGGTGCAGGCTGTATTCACTACTGTCAAGGTGCAGGCTTTAATCACTACTGTCAAGGTGCAGGCTGTATTCACTACTGTCAAGGTGCAGGCTATATTCACTACTGTCAAGGTGCAGGCTGTGTTCACTACTGTCAAGGTGCAGGCTATAATCACTACTGTCAAGGTGCAGGCTATATTCACTACTGACAAGGTGTAGGCTATATTCACTACTGTCACGGTGCAGGCTATATTCACTACTGTCATGATGCCGGCTATATACACTACTGTCATGGTGCAGGCTATATTCGCTACTGTCATGATACAGGCTATATTCGCTACTGTCATGTTGCAGACTATATTCGCTACTGTCATGTTGCAGGCTATATTCACTACTGTCAAGGTGCAGGCTATATTCACTACTGTCAAGGTGCAGGCTATATTCACTACTGTCAAGGTGCAGGCTATATTCACTACTGTCAAGGTGCAGGCTATATTCACTACTGTCAAGGTGCAGGCTATATTACCTTCTGTCAAGGTGCAGGCTATATTCACTACTGTCAAGGTGCAGGCTATAATCACTACTGTCAAGGTGCAGGCTGTATTTACTACTGTCAAGGTGCAGGCTATAATCACTGCTGGCATGGTGCAGGCTGTATTCACTACTGCCAAGGTGCAGGCTATATTCACTATTGTCAAGGTGCAGGCTATATTCACTACTGTCAAGGTGCAGGCTGTGTTCACTACTGTCAAGGTGCAGGCTATAATCACTACTGTCAAGGTGCAGGCTGTATTCACTACTGTCAAGGTGCAGGCTATATTCACTACTGACAAGGTGTAGGCTATAATCACTACTGGCATGGTGCAGGCTGTATTCACTACTGTCAAGGTGCAGGCTTTAATCACTACTGTCAAGGTGCAGGCTGTATTCACTACTGTCAAGGTGCAGGCTATATTCACTACTGTCAAGGTGCAGGCTGTATTCACTACTGTCAAGGTGCAGGCTATATTCACTATTGTCAAGGTGCAGGCTATATTCACTACTGTCAAGGTGCAGGCTGTGTTCACTACTGTCAAGGTGCAGGCTATAATCACTACTGTCAAGGTGCAGGCTGTATTCACTACTGTCAAGGTGCAGGCTATATTCACTACTGTCAAGGTGCAGGCTATAATCACTGCTGGCATGGTGCAGGCTGTGTTCACTACTGTCAAGGTGCAGGCTATAATCACTACTGTCAAGGTGCAGGCTGTGTACACTACTGTCAAGGTGCAGGCTATATTCACTACTGTCAAGGTGCAGACCATAATCACTGCTGGCATGGTGCAGGCTATAATCACTACTGTCAAGGTGCAGGCTGTATTCACTACTGTCAAGGTGCAGGCTATATTCACTACTGTCAAGGTGCAGGCTTTAATCACTACTGGCATGGTGCAGGCTGTATTCACTACTGTCAAGGTGCAGGCTGTATTCACTACTGTCAAGTTTGAGGCTGTATTCACTACTGTCAAGGTGCAGGCTCTAATCACTACTGTCAAGGTGCAGGCTGTATTCACTACTGTCAAGGTGCAGGCTATAATCACTACTGTCAAGGTGCAGGCTATATTCACTACTGTCAAGGTCCAGGCTATAATCACTACTGTCAAGGTGCAGGCTGTATTCACTACTGGCAAGGTGCAGGCTATAATCACTACTGGCAAGGTGCAGGCTGTGTTCACTACTGTCAAGGTGCAGGCTATAATCACTACTGTCAAGGTGCAGGCTATAATCACTGCTGGCATGGTGCAGGCTGTGTTCACTACTGTCAAGGTGCAGGCTATATTCACTACTGTCAAGGTGCAGGCTATAATCACTGCTGGCATGGTGCAGGCTGTATTCACTACTGTCAAGGTGCAGGCTGTATTCACTACTGTCAAGGTGCAGGCTATATTACCTACTGTCATGGTGCAGGCTGTATTCACTACTCTCAAGTCGAGGCTGTATTCACTGCTGGCATGGTGCAGGCCGTATTCACTACTGTCAAGGTGCAGGCTATATATCGTCGCTGCATGCAGGACACATGTGGACTTTCCTATCCTGGTTCTATGGTTGTACCCATGGAGGTTTGGCTTTTGGTTGCCAATAGTGTTGCTAGCAACAGTCTCATGTTGCAATGGTATACACATCAATGCTAGATAGTAGCTGCCTTTTTTACATAGCTGCTGGCTTTATTGATTTTTCTGTCAAACTGTACATAATGTCTGCTGTCCCCATTGAACAGTTATTACTATTGATCTGAATGAAAATGTAACTTCACCCTTGTTATCATGGTGAAGGCTGGTCTGCTGATATTATAAGGCAATCTACACCACTACATTCATGCTTTAGGTAAGCACATGGCTGTTTTGACTGTACACTCTGTTAAAAGGCCAATGTGAATATGCATTTTTTTTTGTTATGGTTGGAAGAGAAACATCAACTCAGTAGTTTGGGATGGTTATTTTCAAGGAAGATGATATGCCAGATCACCACAGGTTAATATCTTGCACTTTCTCTCCGAAACAGGGTTCATAACATGTATGTGAGGCTAAATGACACTGAGATACTCATTCATGTTTCATTCTAACAATAGCTTGTCAACAGGTGCCATGTTAAGGATGGCCATCAGTAAAGGTGTAAGATGATCCAGGTAACACATCCAGCTCATCTGGCTGCTTTGGATATCACCTAAGTTTCTGTTCTTTGATTTATTGATGTATACCTGGCTCCAGGGTAGTTTGGATTAATTGTGAACTCAAACAGTGCTATATATTTACTTAGTGTTACAAATACTGCACTCATGTTGCAAATGTTGGCATTGTTCAGATATGAAATACCAAGATAGAGATTTACTCTGATTGTTTTACTGTATAGTTTCAACTGATGATTCTGCCGCCAGTCACACACAACTCATTTCTATTGTTATGTCATTTAGAATGCACCCAATGTTGCCTTAGCAACCTACTACTTTATCCGGTGCTCTCCTCACAAAAGAGGTATTTTGTAAATATGTGTGTAAATTCTCTCAAATCTGTTGTGAGATATTTTGCACAATCTGTTTCACTATTTTTATACATATTGTGCATTTCTTTTTATACCTCAGGATGTAACACTCCCAAGACACATCCATAGACACACCAACACACCTTCCCCACCCATGGCCCATCACACTCCTTTACTCATGTCAATGTACACATGCTATTTTTCTACGAAAACATATGTGATCAAAACAAGTATCCCACGCAAATGAGACAAATGACAAGTGTTTGTCAAAAAGGACCTCAAGTGGCAGTAGATAATAACATGCTGTCAGTTACACTAGATCATAATATGCTGTCAGTTACACTAGATCATAATATGCTGTCAGTTACACTACATGGTAACATGTTGTCAGTTACATTAGATCATAATATCCTGTCACTTACACTAGATCATAATATGCTGTCAGTTACACTACATAGTAACATGCTGTCAGTTACACGACATGGTAACATGCTGTCAGTTACACCAGATGTAACATGCTGTCACTTACACTACATGTAACATGCACTACATGGTAACATGCTGTCAGTTACACTACATGGTAACATCCTGTCAGTTACACTACATGGTAACATGCAGTCAGTTACACTACATGGTAACATGCTGTCAGTTACACTACATGGTAACATGCTGTCAGTTACACTACATGGTAACATGCTGTCAGTTACACTACATGGTAACATGCTGTCAGTTACACTACATGGTAACACGCTGTCAGTTACACTACATGGTAACATGCTGTCAGTTACACTGCATGGTAACATCCTGTGAGTTACACTACATGGTAACATGCTCTCAGTTACACTACATGGTTACATGCTGTCAGTAAAACCACATGGTAACATGCTGTCAGTTACACGACATAGTAACATGCTGTCAGTTACACCAGATGTAACATGCTGTCAGTTACACTAGATGTAACATGCGCTACATGGTAAGATGCTGTCAGTTACACTACATGGTAACATGCTGTCAGTTACACTACATGGTAACATCCTGTCAGTTACACTACATGGTAACATGCTGTCAGTTGAACTACATGGTAACATGCTGTCACTTACACTACATGGTAACATGCTTTCAGTGGCACTACATGGTAACATGCTGTCAGCTAAACTACATGGTAACATGCTGTCATGTACACTACATGGTAGCATGCTATCAGGTACACTACATGGTAGCATGCTGTCAGTTGTACTACATCGTAACATGCTGTCAGTTACACTACATGGTAACATGCTGTCAGTTACACCAGATGTAACATGCTGTCAATTACACTACATGGTAACATGCTGTCAGTTGAACTACATGGTAATATGCTGTCAGTTCCACTACATAGTAACATGCTGTCAGTTACACGACATGGTAACATGCTGTCAGTTACACCAGATGTAACATGCTGTCAGTTACACTACATGGTAACATGCTGTCACTTACACTACATGGTAACATGCTGTCAGTTACACTACATGGTAACATGCTGTCACTTACACAAGGTGGTAACATGTTTCAGTTACACTACATGGTAACATGCTGTCAGTTACACTACATGGTAATATGCTGTCAGTTACACTACATGGTAACATGCTGTCAGTTATACTACATGGTAACATCCTGTCACTTACACTACATGGTAACATGCTGTCAGTTACACTACATGGTAACATGCTGTCACTTACACAAGGTGGTAACATGTTTCAGTTACACTACATGGTAACATGCTGTCAGTTACACTACATGGTAATATGCTGTCAGTTACACTACATGGTAACATGCTGTCAGTTATACTACATGGTAACATCCTGTCAGTTGAACTTCATGGTAACATGCTGTCACTTACACTACATGGTAACATCCTTTCAGTGACACTACATGGTAACATGCTGTCAGATACACTACATAGTAACATGCTGTCAGTTACACCAGATGTAACATGCTGTCAGTTACACTACATGGTAACATGCTGTCAGTTGTACTACATGGTAATATCCTGTCACTTACACTACATGGTAACATGCTGTCAGTTACACTACATGGTAACATGCTGTCACTTACACAAGGTGGTAACATGCTTTCAGTTACACTACATGGTAACATGCTGTGAGTTACACTAGATGGTAACATCCTGTCAGTTATACTACATGGTAACATGCTATCAGTAACACTACATGGTAGTATGCTGTCAGTTACACTAGATGGTAACATGCTGTCAGTTACACTACATGGTAACATGCTGTCAGTTACACTAGATGGTAACATGCTGTCAGTTACACTACATGGTAACATGCTGTCATTTACACTACATGGTAGCATGCTGTCAGTTACACTACATGGTAGCATGCTGTCAGTTACACTACATGGTAGCATGCTGTCAGTTACACTAGATGGTAACATTCTGTCATTTGAACTTCATGGTAACATGCTGTCAGTTACACTATATGGTAACATGCTGTCACTTACACTACATGGTAACATGCTGTCAGTTACACTATATGGTAACATGCTGTCAGTAACACTAGATGGTAACATGCTGTCAGTTACACTACATGGTAACATGCTGTCAGTTACACTTCATGGTAACATGCTGTCACTTACACAAGGTGGTAACATGCTGTCACTTACACAAGGTGGTAACATCCTGTCAGTTACACTACATGGTAATATGCTGTCAGTTACACTACATGGTAACATCCTGTCAGTTATACTACATGGTAACATGCTATCAGTAACACTACATGGTAATATGCTGTCAGTTACACTAGATGGTAACATGCTGTCAGTTACACTACATGGTAACATGCTGTCAGTTACACTAGATGGTAACATGCTGTCAGTAACCCTTCATTGTAACATGCTGTCATTTACACTACATGGTAGCATGCTGTCAGTTACACTACATGGTAGCATGCTGTCAGTTACACTAGATGGTAACATGCTGTCATTTGAACTTCATGGTAACATGCTGTCAGTTACACTATATGGTAACATGCTGTCACTTACACTACATGGTAACATGTTGTCATTAACACCAGATGTAACATGCTGTCAATTGCACCAGATGTAACATGCTGTCAGTTACACTACATGGTAACATGCTATCACTTACACCAGATGGTAATATGCTGTCAGTTACACTACATGGTAACATGCTGTCAGTTACACTTCATGGTAACATGCTGTCAGTTACACTACATGGTAACATGCTATCACTTACAACAGATGGTAATATGCTGTCAGCTACACTACATGGTAATATGCTGTCAGTTACACTTCATGGTAACATGCTGTCAGTTATACTACATGGTAACATGCTATCAGTAACACTTGATGGTAATATCCTGTCAGTTACACTACATGGTAACATCCTGTCAGTTACACTAGATGGTAATATGCTGTCAGTTATACTTGATGGTAACATGCTGTCACTTACACTACATGGTAATAGGCTGTCAGTTACACTACATGGTAACATGCTGTCAGTTACGCTACATGGTAGCATGCTGTCAGTTACACTACATGGTAACATGCTGTCAGTTACGCTACATGGTAACATGCTGTCAGTTACGCTACATGGTAGCATGCTGTCAGTTACACTAGATGGTAACATGCTGTCAGTTACACTACATGGTAACATGCTGTCAGTTACACTACATGGTAACATGCTGTCAGTTACACTAGATTTAAACATGCTGTCAGTTACACTAAATGGTAATATGCTGTCAGTTACACTAGATGGTAAAATGCTGTCAGTTACACTACATGGTAACATCCTGTCAGTTACACTTTATGGTAATATGCTGTCAGTTACACTAGATGGTAACTTGCTGTCACTTACACTACATGGTAACATGCTGTCAGTTACACCAGATGTAACATGCTATCAGTTACACTACATGGTAACATGCTGTCAGTTACACAAGATGGTAACCTGCTGTCAGTTACACTACATGGTAACATGCTGTCAGTTACACTAGATTTTAACATGCTGTCAGTTACACTACATGGCAATATGCTGTCAGTTACACTAGATGGTAACATGCTGTCAGTTACACTACATGGTAACATGCTGTCAGTTACACTAGATGATAACATCCTGTCAGTTACACTTTATGGTAATATGCTGTCAGTTACACTAGATGGTAACATGCTGTCACTTACACTACATGGTAATAGGCTGTCAGTTACACTACATGGTAACATGCTGTCAGTTACACTACATGGCCGCATGCTGTCAGTTACACTACATGGTAACATGCTGTCAGTTACACTACATGGATATATGCTGTCAGTTACACTACATGGTAGCATGCTGTCAGTTACACTAGATGGTAACATGCTGTCAGTTACACTACATGGTAACATGCTGTCAGTTACACTACATGGTAACATGCTGTCAGTTACACTACATGGTAACATGCTGTCAGTTACACTAGATTTTAACATGCTGTCAGTTACACTAAATGGTAATATGCTGTCAGTTACACTAGATGGTAAAATGCTGTCAGTTACACTACATGGTAACATCCTGTCAGTTACACTTAATGGTAATATGCTGTCAGTTACACTAGATGGTAACTTGCTGTCACTTACACTAGATGGTAACATGCTGTCAGTTACACTACATGGTAACATGCTGTCAGTTACACTAGATGGTAACATGCTGTCAGTTACACTACATGGTAACATGCTGTCAGTTACACTAGATGG